AGTGGCCGAGAGTTCCATAGGCTCTCGGCCAGGAGCCTAGCCTGCCGATAGGTGCCGGCTAGGATCCGCTTGTCCCATTGTTACTGAGAGCGAAGCTCGGTTGCTTCGTCTGATCGTGTGGCGAAATGGCCACACACGCGGTCTGAGATGGATACATTACACCCCTCCTCCCTTGGTCCAAAAGACACCCCCACACAAAGTCCTGCAAATAGGAGGGGGCTTTACGGGTTCTCGTAGAGCGGTGAGGTGTGGGAACCGGGGTGGAAGGTGACACCGGAGCGCTCGGCTGTGAGATATATGGTGTTGGTGGTTGGGGCACTGGTAGTGCTGTTTCTTGGGGTCCGGTTGTGCGGTCTGCTGGGGCTTCGACGGGAACCTCATTTCGCTGGGCCAGGTCATCCGGTAGCTGAGGCGGAGTGGGAGTCTCTGGGGTGTCTGGGTCCTTGAAGTCCTCGGGGTCGCGTGGCAGTACCCATCGCCACAGCTGATCGATGTGGCGATGAAGTATCTAGCCGTCTTTGCTGGAGACGTTGTAGGACCTGGGTCCCCGGACTCTCACCACTCAGACTGGAATCCATGGCGGGCATTGCGCATAGTTCCGGGCGTAGACTGCGTCCTCGGGAAAAAACCCTCTGGCTGCCTCGGGTGACTCTGTGGCCGGTTTTTCTTCCGGTGCTCGATCGGGATGGAGGCGGTCCAGCCGGGTCGTCAGGCGCTGTCCTAACAGGAGCTCCGCTGGGCTGCGGCCTTTCAGCAGCCAGGTTGGGATAGCACCTTGAGGCAGCCTGAGGTGATTTGCATCCCTGGGAGCTCTCCGGGCAGGGTGGGAGAGGAGGCGGCTCGTCCTTATGGAAGGCACCTGGAGTGAAGGGCAAGTGATGCTCTGTCTTCTTGGTGCTTGGGAGGGGTCAATAGTGGGAGGGCTTCTAATGTCCTGGCCCCACTGGCAGACCTCCTGATGGCGCCTGGTATTTCTGGCCATTGTGTGACACAGAGTGTTGGACTGGATGGGCCTTGGCCTGATCCAACATTGGCGTCTCTTATGTTCTTATGAGGGGGTGTCTCTTCAGCAGCAGTGGCTTGGATTGGATGGTGGGTTGCTTCAGGGGTGGCGGTGATTACAGGTGGATTGGTGGGGGAATGGCATGGGAGAGCAGGGAAAGGGACTGAGAGACAGAGAGATTGGCCCTTCTTTTGAACTCTTTGAAGTTGATTGCCAGTAGGCTGAGCTTGAGGAAAGGGAGGAGAAGGGGAATCAAAGCTAGGTTTTGGATGCAGGCAGGGTTGGCCTCGAATTAGCCTCCACTGCCGACACACAAAGATGCACGCCTGCTTAGGAAATTGCCCTGCCCTCTGAAGAGATCTGAGAGCAGAAACTAGGAATTCCAGGTTCCTCCCTCAGTGGACTGCAGGCTCTCTCCACCCTAATTAGATCACCGATAATTAGATTAGCCACTAATCTAATTAGTGGTGATCTAATTAATCTCCCTGCTCTCAGTCTTTCCCCTGCCCCAAAGAAACTTTCCTAGCTACGGGGCTGCTTTCTGTCCCATTACTGCAGTGCTCCAAAAGTATTGTTATGTGTTCAGACTGCAGACCAGCACAAATTGGGCAAACCTTGCAAATAGGGCTGCCAAGTCCCCCAGGGGGGGGCGGATGTCCCCCCGCTTTGGAGGCCTGATTTCTGCCGCCGCTGAATTGGGCCCCAGGGGAAACCCCACCCCGGCGTGCACGTCAGCCGGAGGTGACATGATGACGCCGGGCACGCTGGGGGCGGGGCCACAGCCATCTGAGGGGGAAATTCTGTTTACGCGGCGGAATCGGGGCCCGGGGGAACCCCGCCCCTGGCATGCGCGTCACTAGCAAGTGACGTAGGCATGCTGGGCACGCTGGGGGCGGGGCCACGGCCATACAAGGGAAAACGCTCCCGGCGAAGACGGATTTGGCAAACCTTATATTGGCCCATGACTAAAATGCAAGGAGAATAAAAAATAGGAAAAAAACCCAGAAATTTAAAGTACTGATCTCAGAAATAACAAAAACTTAGAACCAAGTATGTGTATTTGTATGTGCGCAAGTGTGTGCATGTGTGTATATCCTTTCCACACAGGGAGAACATAGCTGTGGGAGAGGGAGGGAAAAAGAAGAGCCAATCCTGAACTGATTCAGGAGCACGTGTATCTCTTCTCTCCCCCCCCCCCCCCCCGTCTGCCTCTTCCTCCTTTGTCACAGGACAGTTGGTGTAATTTGGCTGCAGTGGTTTGGGGAAAGGTCCGTACAGCTGGGCCACAGCAAGGAAATGTTTGCATTTTTATATACACACATGCACAAACACATATGCATGCACAAAAGACAGATAGATTCCCTGAATCACTCAGGAACAGGCAAATAAGGGAAAGTCTATGTTGGATCTGGAGACATGTATTTGAGAAGGAACAGCTGAGGGAATTTGACCTTACCTCACACCAGGGAAAAACCTGTGGCTACTGTGTGTACATGTGTCTGTGTGTCTGTACATGTCCCAAGACATACAGTGCGACCCTTTGCATGTCTATTCAGATGTAAGTACCTCCTTGTTCATTGCGGTTTAGATCCAGGTAAGCAAGACCAGCCCAAGGGCTTTCCGTACCCCAGGCCAGCTGGCCAGGGTACATACACACTCCTCTAGTGTCCGCTGTGTATAGGGCACCTCTGTAGCTGAGTGCATGTAGGATTTCAGCCTCACTCTGTTAGCTTCTTAGAAGTAGCTTCTTGAGCATTCTGTGATGCCTAAGTGTTTTACAAATGACCTGCCATTTCTTTACAGGTTTTGTCTGTGAAGCATATAACAATCCTGCAGATTTTTTGATGGATATCATTAATGGAGACTCTACTGCTGCTGCAGCTAGTAGAATTGACTTCAACACTGCAGGTATGGATGCTGAAAATCCTTTGGCACCTAAAATACAGTGTTGCACATCAGCTTCCTTTGGGGTTTTATTCCACCTCTTTAGAACACGGAATTATGAAGGAGCAGCAAATAGCAGAATATCTTCAGATATTCTGAAGTGGAAACTACATGGTCCAGACCCTGGATGCCACTTTGCTTTAGCCAAATAGCCCTGGGAGGTGGAGATTTGAAGTAGAAAAAGGGTGGGTGCACAGGGAGAATGTTTACCTTATAAACATGTCTCTGGGGGAAAAGCAGCTGACAAGGGAAAATACTGGGGCTGATTCACATGTTACAAAATGACCTGTTGAGTAAACTTGTATATACTGACGGCTACACATAAGTTTCTCCAGTGGGGCAAGTAGCAGCTCCCCAGGTCCTTTCCTGGTGGGGAACATGATGTGGTGGGAAAGGCTTCATCCCCCTCTCCCTATCTGATAGATGTGTGATCTGAATGAGGCCTTTGCACACCTGGGAATTAAGTTCCGGACAGTTACGCAGCCATGATGATCAGACGTTTTCATGTGGCCATGAGGACATTGTAATGGATGAATGGGTCCTCATGGCCTTTGGAGAAATTTGCAGCAGAGTAGCAGCAGGGGAGAGTTTCGGGGTTAGTTATAGCTTCCAGAGCCTTGAAGCCAAAAGGGCCTACTGGGAGGACGGTGGAAACTGGACCAAACCAGCAAACCCAAGGTGTCATGTGCTCTTTACATTCCCAGGGTGACTAGAAAAAATGTGTTTCGTTTGGCTTGCGGATTGGCTTGTTTCACAAGTTATCTGGTGCAAGATGCTGCGTGTTTTACTTTGTCTGCCCTTTGTTGATGGTCTTTTAGCTTGGGGAGTGGGCTTAAACTTGAGACCCAATTCCTATGCAATGTAATGGAAGTGGCAAAGTGTCCTGATTAGCAGTTTTGTGCAAGTCAGTTTTACCCCTAAGAGTCCTCCTAACTTACGCTGCACTAGGGTTTCCAGCCCTCCACAGCAGTGATGGGGGATTCCACCTCCCCACCTCTCCTGTCCCTCTGCTGCTTGGACCACTTTCCTTCTGCTTTGGCTTTCAAACTGGAGAGAGGTTTTTTTTGAGAATCTGTACAATGTTGGCTGCATCCCTAAGAACACTTTCCTGGGAGTAAGCCCCAGTGAATAAAATGGAACATAAGAACATAAGAGAAGCCAATGTTGGATCAGGCCAATGGCTGGAATCAAGAACCACAAGGGTAAGAAAGAAGTCTGATAAAGGGCCAATATTAAAAACCTAGTTGAAACTTATAATATACAAAAATACATGTATTTATTAGAAAGACAGTTAAAACATATAAGGGCCCAATGAAAGCCACATTAAAAAGTTCAAGTGGCCTAAACACAAGGGCCAATACACATGACCTGACACGTTTCTGCCATATTGGGGCCTTCTTCAGAGGTCAAACAGTATTGAAGTAAAGGTAAAGGTAAAGGTTCCCTTGCTCGAAAGCCAGTCGAATCCGACTCTAGGGTTGCGGTGCTCATATCCGTTTCAAAGCCGAAGAGCCAGCGCTGTCCGAAGACGTTTCCGTGGTCATGTGGCCAGCGTGACTAAACACCAAGGCGCACGGAACGCTGTTACCTTCCCACCGAAGTGGTACCTATTTATCTACTTGCAATTTCTTGCTTTCGAACTGCTAGGTTGGCAGG